ACTTGCTATACACGTGACACACTCACACATTTGCCTATATAAACGGCACTGTAGCTCTTCTTGAAATGTGAAAAAAGATGATTATCCATTTTGTCTTATCCTAGCTTGGGTCTCTGTTTTCTTTTAGAATTAAAATTAATGAAGGGTTACCTCTCCGAAGAATTCAGGGTTGCTAGGATGGGTTAAGAGGACAGCTTCAGGATAATCAAGGGTCTGGCCTTTGGATCTATCTTGAGCAGTGGGCATTTCTCTCTGCCTTTCGTCTGTTATAGCCATGTAGTGGAACCTGTAGGGTTATCATCGTATTCACATAGTCAATGGTGAATATATATATATATTACTCATCGTTCTTTCATTAAACACAGAGGTAACTCTAAAAAGAATCTTATTAACAAAACAGAGAGCAGGATGAATGTTGTGCTAGTTTAATTTTCCACTTACAGGCCTTGGCTGAGCTTGTAAGCGAGCCTAAAGACATCCACCCGAATTGCAGGAAAATCTTCTGAACGCTCAAATATGGCATATGAATATAACCCTGAGCTGCCTCTCCGTAAAATATACCTGCCAACATTGATTTTATCTCATAATTAACTGTGTTTATGGATCAAAGAATAAATAATACTCTTCTTGTCCTTAACATAAGACTCATTTAACTAATTTGATTATATTAAGAAAGTTAGTAAGTTAGTTAATTATAACAAATGTAACATATTTTTCTTAAAACACTCTAATTATCTTCTTTAATATCCTCTCTTGTTCTCCATGATTGAAAGAGTAGTCATAAGGGTAATTTAGAAAAAACTGATAAATAATTTTTATATTTAGGACTAAAATTAACTTAAAAATTAAGTTTTATATTAAAGATCGAAAGAGTATTATAGTAAATCATAGAGATCTCATTTTGATTATATTAAATTATTTATTCATATCTTTCATATTTCCTCCTATCTTTAATATAGGGGTTATCCCTATTAAATGTATATGAAATATATGGGTAACCAACACACATTATTTATTACAAATAACTAATGTATAAACTAATTTTATAAACATTCATAAATTAGTCATATATAAATTTATGTTTAGAACAAGAGGGAGTATATTGTTAATATTACGTGTATTTATATCCTTAATTTATGAAAGAAAAATTACTCAAATATATTTGCTTCCTTCAGACTTTTCAAAATTGAATTGAATTATAAAAGACGCCCACCTTATATCTATATTCATTGGGATCTTTCCTGAAGGCAAGGAAGAATTCCATGTGTATAATAAAGAAACTTCAACTTGATCTTCGTTCTCCATTATAACAGAAAACTTTGTCCCTTTGAATCTGCATAACAAATATAAATTTATAAGCTGTTCATTAATTTGTAAATAATTCGACAAATAATAATAAATAATGTATATATTCACATGTCTAATGTCAATATCATCAATATAAAATATAAAAGTTTTAGCAAGATCACTATTTATACATAAATCAGGAATTAACTGTACATAAGATAATATGCAATGTCTAATTAAACGGGGGAAAAAAATCTACCTGTAATAGTTACTGCGGCCACTAAGTGGGTTCCAAGAAAAGTCCCAATAACTGCAAATATTATCTTGTGTCAATAAAAGTTATATTTGTGGCTATATCTGAGATTCTCGGGAGGGAAAAGGTGAGAGCTAAAATAGAAATAATGAAAAATAATTTCCCCTTACTTTCATGTTTTCATTTCGAACATTTAAAATTCGTAAGTTCAGAAAGAGGATTTCGTAATACGTACAGATGGTTTATAATGCATATTCACATAAGTTTCATAATTCATTTTATTGATTTTGTAATTGGACCCAACAATTAATGAATACTACTAATATTTAAAAATTAGTTTTATGTTAATTGATGCTAATTGAGTTGGCGAAAAGGTTAGATACGGACTACAATCGCCAAACCGAAAAGAAAACAGGTATAACTTTCTATCTGTTTTCATTTTTCAATAGAGATTCGAATTCATATTATTTTCTGAAATAAAAAAAATGTTAACAGTTTCAGAAATATTGATACAATTTATTTTTAAGAAATGTGTATGTAGTACTAAAAATATATAGGAGATCATTTACGTCATTTCACTAAAATTTAAGGGATATTATAATATTAGTTACTTTTGAAATTTTCAATAGAATATACAAAATTCAATCATAATATATATCTAATCAAGAAAGAGATCGTAATCCCTGCAGAGATTTCTTTTCATCTTGAATCTTTTTCCACGATTTAGGGAAACACTAAAATTAAAGCACATAGATACAAATTTTCTTAATTTTTCATAAGAGGTCCCATTCTTCTACTTTTCACCAGAAGTCGATGACTATTTATAACTATTATCTTGACATCAAATAAGAGTTTGACTCCATGCTTAATCGATTCTGATTCGATATTAGAAGTATATTAATTTTTTCCAAATAACCGAATACTTTTGTTTGTAAATACTGCATATTTGATTCCATTCATAAATCTATCTTTTCCTTATGAGCTAGTCTCAATAAAAACGCTAGTTCTTTTTTTTTTTTTGCTGTTAATAAAAATGCTAGTTCTTACTATTTATAGGTTATGATATGAATATACTCCACCAATTTGTTATTAAGAAAAGAGGAAATGAACTGCCATGGTATTGTTATTAGAGATCGACATTGATAATTCATGAGATCATGTCTCTAATGATAGTTTTTGAAGAATGAAATAAATAAAAAAGAAAAGTTGGAAGTGAAAGAGTAATCAGGTTACCCTCTATTATCAGCACGAGTAAGAGGTTCAAGAAGGTTATCAATGCCATTATATGATAATCCTATCAAATTGCCGTCTGGCCGCGACACCGTAGCGCTAACGATCCCATTATACATCACCACCTGTAAATTCCATTACAATTTTTTTTAACTACGTAAAATGACATGAATTTTCTTAATTAAAATAACTCAATTAAATATAGGGGAAGCCAAAATATACAGATCCATCACCTTGTCATCACTTTGCTGTAGCGTGACAGGTTGATGAGAGTCTTCCATCTTACGCACAACACTTTCGTATCCGAATGATGGAAATGTTAATTCATGGAAAATAAATGTGATGCAGCAACTGGTTAAACTTAAATACGAAGAGATAAAATTCGAACTTTCTTATTGATCAATCGTATATAATCTATGAAAGAGAAACCTAGCTAATAAACAGAAAAAGTAAAACCCTAATAACTCTCAAACGAAAACGAGATGAACAAGTAAGTACCTACCTAGATTTGGTGATCTCAGAACAACCAGCGAGCAAGAAGAAGAAGAAGAACACTTGCAGCACACTCATTGTTTTCCGACACTGAAGGAATAAGAAGCTTGGTGGTTTCTGCAACTGAACACCCAATTTCTCCATCATTCAACGAATTTGCAAATCTTCAGATTGATAAATGAATCATCAGATGTACCTTAACTCAATCTCCTTAGGTCTCACACACACACATATATAAGAGAGCTGTGAGGGGGCAGTGTAATTTTCTTAAAGCTCCATACAACCAAGGTGAGATTATCTTCCAAAGTTTAAATTTTAAAGTTTCCTATAAATTGTTGTTAAGAAGTATATTCAAAAGTTAACATTTTAAAAAAAATCTAGGAAAAAAAGTAAAGTGGTCATCTCAATTTGAATGTCAAGTATTGCCGCCATAAGTGAAGTTTAAGGCAAAAAAAAAAAAAGGGTGAGATGTGATGGCAAAATCGCGAAAGAATTTTGCTTAATAAAATACCTTTTTCAATGATATCGTCTATATGCGTGTTACAATTATGGGTGGAAATTACAAAATCACGACATTATATTATGTTGATGCTAACTGCTTATTGAAATTCGATTTTCCTTAAAATGATTGAACATAACTTCATCAAAATTAAATTGTTTTGTGTTAAAAAATTATTTATCTTATTTGATTTTATAACCAAAAAGACCAATATTTTGTCGGGTTCAATTTCAAACTGAAAAGGTTCATAAGTTTCATCAAAGTCATGATCTTACTAGCCAACCAAAAAAAAAAAAATTATGATCTTCAGCATTTGGCTTTGTTTTTCTTGAGTGATATTTAAGAAATTGGAACTCATTTGGGTAGCATGCTAAATTCGACCTTCATTTCATGTAACCAAGAAAATAACTTACAATATTTTTAGAAGATTGATTTCTTTTCAAAATTTAAACCTGTTAAAATGTGTAAAAACTTACTAAATTAAGGAATAATAGAGTTGCATATGGAGCCTACATATGGATTTTATATTTTATATTGAATATTGAAAAGGACTTTAATTTCTAGTACTTCTTAGGGTAAAAATAGAATTTGTTGTGGAGCACGTGGTAGTACTTGACGGATCCTTTTCAATTAACTCTGCTTATAAAATCCCAGTGAAACATCATGATTTTACTGAGATCCGCATGGTCATTATACTAATTTGTTGCAGCGTAACAGGTTGATGAGAGCCTTCAATCTCACATAAAACACTTTTGGATCCGAATGATATGGAAGTGTTCAACATGAATTCATAATTGTGATGATGCAGCTGCTTAAACTTATATATGGACAAGTTAAATTCGAACTGTCTTGAAAATTATAAATTATTGTTGATCAATCACATGTCAAGCAGAAAGATAGTGCTTATTAAAAAAAGCCTAACTGTCTTAAAGGTTATATAGTATTGTTGTTCAATCATATGTCCAAAAGAAACAAAGTACTTACCTCAAAAAAAAAAAAAAACACTAACCGTGTTAATAGTTATGAAGTATTGTTGATCAATCATAGATCAAGCAACAAACATATAATTTCTAGAAGATATTAAACTTTTTTAACATACGTACACTTAATTAAACCCTGTTAAGATGTGTGAAAAAGTTATCAAAGGGGACTGAAAAAGGTTCGAAATGAATGAAAGAACTAATTATTTGTTGACAGATAAATTAATTAAATACACATGTAATTGGCATATGAACCGAATCAAATTCTTAGATTGGAAGGTCTCTCTAGACGGATATAGTCATACATAAGTCCTTGGAAAGGACTAATGGCAAGTGGCTGTTTCAAATAGATAGTATTGTTGCCTTCTACTAAACGATCGCTTGGAACATCGATGCTGAACAACCAATACAGTCCATGGATTCCATGCCTTGCTATGGCATTGTCTCCTCTTAACAATCCAGTTTGAAATAGGGGACGCTTCTCACCTTGCTCATTGATCCAAACCTGCAATAAACAGCCCCAAATTAATCACCTTCATTCTTAACAAATCTGTATCTGCAGCAACAGCAAAGCTGATTTAATTCTTTCTAGTTGTGTATTCTATGTGATTGAAAAGATATAGACGCAAGCTGAGCCTTCCATCACTGCGCATATGTTTGGATTTAGGTGAGTTAACGTGGAAAATAAGTATATAAGTGGGTTGGCACTATACTTTAACCCAAAATCTCATAGCCTTTGAGTACAGTTTAGCGAACCTGCAATTCAGTTTAACACTGCATGTCCAGGACCTTACTTCTTTTCACATTAACTCACCCATGAATACTAACACTATCTCTATTTATTATCTTCTATACTATACCAACCACACAAAATGGGAAGGATCTCATTAGAGAGCCAAATCCCCCCCCCCCCAAAAAAAAAAAAGCCTTCGTTGTTTTAGCGAACCTGCAATTTAGAACTAGTGGCTGATGCTAAAGCCAGTCGTAGGGTGTAATTTCCTACTAACAGATTCCGTCTTCGAAGTTCAAATTTAATCTTCCATGTAGTTGGCTGATATCTGCTATCTCCTATGTTCCTGTACACACAAAATTTACCCTAGAGTCAAAAAGAACAGAATTTTATCGATCAATATTGCTACGCATCAGATCATTAATGACATTTTATAAAGACTACCTTGTAACATGAGCAAAGAACCAATCCTTATCATGAGAGTCAACACCAACAGTGTAAACCAGATCATTTTTTGGATACAATTCAGCATAGCGTTCCCACAATCCATATTGTCTAAACCTGTCGAAACAATGATTGTTGCCTAAGTGGAAAGGAAAGGAAAGTGAACATACTGTTAACAACTATATATGGTTGGTCTAACTTTTCTTCGGGACGATTGTTGTATAATTTGTTCAGGAGTTCATGATTTGCGTCCGGGATATAGAATTCTGCTGCTGACCGATCTGGCACTCCAATTTCCCAAACGGTAAGACCATTTCTTGGAGGACTATATACAAGAAAACCTAATTTGATCCGACACGCTACACGCACAGAATATTATACTTGTTATGTGAATGAGCAGGTTAACATTAGGGTTTACATCAAACCAGAAGGATATTGAAGAAAATGCTATACCTGGCGTGATGGTGATTGTTGTATTATATTTATAATCACCAATAAAGCCTGGAACCCAAGCAAACAAATTATACTTTCCTGGGATAACATTCTTTATCGCGAAATAGCCCTCTTTGTCAGCTTGAGTCCAGAACTGATAACCCTATATGAGATGCTATAGGATTTGAGTTCAGAATTAATGATCCTAGTTTCGAATGATACTTCGTAATAACAAGGAATACCTTGCTTTCTGTTTGCCATGATCCTGCATCACCAGGCAAAGCTAAACCAACATAAGCCGAGTTAGCATTTTGGAACCTGCCTCCTTCGATATACCGATCTTGAACCAGTAATCTTCCAGTCACACTTCCACGTTTGGTGGGTGGAATGTAATCTTGTGACTTTGGGAAATCGTAAGGCCAGCTTTGGACTTCCTTCGACATCTAATTGAATCAACGAAATGCAATATATAATTCTTTACTTTTTTGGGACAGATCAGCCTGAGCAGAGGGACATTAGTATTCAATTACTTGTTGTACAGCATCTCGCCAGAGCGTTTGTGCATTGGCATTGCTCGAAATGGAGTTAAGATACACAAAAACAGGGCCAAAAACCTTCTTATAGGTCTCCCCTTCTTGAAATTCCATGGCTGCCTCCTTCCCAGCCAAGTGCATGCTCATAAACATCTACAAATCACTCAAATTTTGGAGAATTTTAAAGGGGAAAACGAAAAGCTACTCTGTTATTAGAAATGATTTGCTTTTGAAGTTGGAGACTTACGGAGAGAGTAAAGGGGCCCACATGAGAAGTAAGATCCTGCTTGATGGGCCCGCCATTGCGAAACTCGTTGCTGGGTGTTATTAACCAGAACCCCATGGCTGCATTAGAATTGATGCTAATCCAACCATGTACTCTGCTGTCCTTATTCTCACAAGCGTACTGGTATTTGTCGTCCACCTAATCCAACATCACGACTCAATCAATTCATTCATGCCAATTTTATAATCAAACCAGAACAAACAGACACATTCAAATACTATAATGTTTGCGAGAGAGAGGGGAAAATATGTACCTCTCCTTTAAAGATTTCGTTGGATGGGTTGGTTAAGAGAACAGCTTCAGGATAAGCTAAAGTTTTCCCTCTTTTTCTATCTTCCATTGTTGGCATGTATCTTTGCCTAGTGTCTGAGATAGCCATATAATGGAACCTGCCCAGTATGTGATCATTTTCATTCGTTTCAGGAAAAAAAAAAAGTTCTTACAATTACTGATTAATTTCCATTTTTTCTGGTAATTACCTGTCTTCCTGAAGCTTGTAAACAGTCCTGATTTGCTCAACCTGGACTGCTGGAAATCCTTCTGGACGATCGAATATAACGTAAGAGTAAAATCCAGAACTTCCTCGTCGCAATATATACCTGAAGATTTAATCTTTATCTGATAGTTAATGAACATGCAACATATATAAGGCCTCTGTTTGTTCTTTAAATATATTTAAAAACCGAACTTTGAATCCACCTTCGGTCTATGTTGATGGGGACGCTTTTGCCTTCCATGGAAGATGTCCATGTTGTGGTGAACGAAACCTCCACTTGATTTTTTTCTTCTGCTACGATTGTAAACTTTGTCCCCTCGATTCTGCAGTGTTTTATACGTGGATACGATAATATATTAATTCAGTCCGATCGGTGCAAGAAGCCAGCATTACCTGTAATAACCGGACAAACTTGTGTGATTAAATTACTATACCTCTGATGATAATTATTGTCTTTTCCTTGTTTATTCCAAACTACATCGAAATACCTGCGAAACAAGAGCAAATGGAAATCCTTTCAGCTTTCATGAAAAGTTGAAACTGGTACTAGATTCATTTCATGAACAACAGAACAAGTCTGAAGCAGGGTACCCTCTGTCTTGTTCATCATTGCGAGATTCTAGTACATTTTCGATTCCCTCATATGATATTCCCACAACATTCCCCTCTGGTCTTGACAGGGTGACATGGACTATGCCATTGTCCATCATCACTTTCCCATGATGTTCTGTGTTCAGCTTAACTGCAGAACTGGGTTTTGGAATACTGTTTATATTTCTCCACAACATTTTTCTGCCACAGGAAACATGCATGGAAAGGGGAAAAAAGGTCATACTGATAATGAATAAAATCATAGGCATCATGCATATAACTAAAATTACTTTATATTCCTGTCTAAGTTTCAGTTTATTAACTAAAATACCTTTCCAAGATCCTGCTGTCAGAACAACCACAGTGCAGAAAGAAAAGCTGCATATTCAATCCAAACCACCACAACAACAAAACTCGTTTCCTTTTCTCTCCTACCTTCATCTTTCACAGCTATATATGAAACCTGCAAATCCAAAACTAGCAACTTCATTTCAGAAGAAGAACGCTACGACATTTTGATCATGAATCATGATAATGCTGTCAAGATGCTAATAACACAATTAACCATGAAGACCTCCAATGAAAATATTCAAGGACCAACTTTAATCATTACCAATGCAGGCCCTTGTTCTGGGATGTGCTGAAAACCGTAGGAGATGAGGGACCAAGGTTTTGTCTGATCACGAGGTTCTAATTTTCCTTGGATCTTTATAAATACATTAATATAACCCCAGGGCAACTCCGGCTTCCTTTTTAGTAATGTTAACATTATTAATTTTTTTCCCTTTTTTGTGGTGGGGATAATGTTTTCTCTGAAATTGTGTTTGCATTAGGGGGGAAAAAAACTTTTTGTGATCTGTAATTGCATTAAGTATGCTGGGAAACATCCAAGTAGATCTCGATATTACTACGCAGATGTCAATTAGTGGATCTCTGTTTCTCTCTGACCCTTCCTTTTCCTGCTTCTTTGTGTCTCTCCAAATGACCAGGTCTGTTTAGACACTAAATAAGTAAATATAGATAACCCATTTTGGGAAGGAGTTGGAAAATAAATTTACGTATAAATATAATTTTAAAGATTTGGGCGAGGGAAAGTTTCTTCCTTATTTACAGGGTTGTTCACTGATAGTTTACCAGACAAATTTAGAAAAAAAAACGCTCAAAAACCAAAATATCCGCAGGATCTACCGAGTGAGGAAAGTCTGAACAAATTTTACAGTAGGCACTTTTTTTTTTTTAGTGCTTACAGTAGGCACTTTAAAGTTTGAGCAACACGTACATAAATTTCAACGAAAGTAATTTATCTACATAAAATTATCGGTTATGGATAATTCCTTGTCCTCGCTAGACAGTTGGTACACAACCAAAAAAAAAAAAAAAGTAATGGCTCACGATAGGAGGGAATGAGGAGAGATAATAATAAAATAAGAGAGCATGACCCTCAGAATCATTTTAAAAAAGCAATTTTAAGTAAATATATAAGAAATTTAATCTTAATTTGCGTGCAATTATTTTTTAATATGTATAACGTTTATGATGAAATCAAATATATTCATTGTTTATACGTGCAAGGCTCATGATTCTTTATCACCGAGAATGAAGACACTCTTCCAAGTAACTTTTGAACTTTGAGATATTTTTCAAAAAGTACTTTTATTTGTAAGGATATATCGAAAAATGTTTGTTTGATCCCCAAGAGGGGGTCTCGCACAATCCCATAATCGATACATATATTACGAGAATATACTGGAAAGCGCAAAAATTATTAATAAGCGAAAGTAAGATGGTTTTGTATGTGAAGAATAACCTTCAGATTCTTATTTTAAAAAAAAACAGCAATAAACAAATATCATTGACTAATTAAAAAAATAAAAAATATTAAAAAATAAATGGAAATTGATCCCGAATCATTCCATCCGAAAGAATCTTTACGTTTTTTCATTATCTTTAGATAAAAAGTATCTTTATAATGTTTTGCATTTATGAAAAGAATGACAATAATTTCATGAAGCGGCCCAAACCCTGCACGCCTATAAGGTGTGGGCTAGGCCCATAGATCACATGGTCCATGGGCCTAGCCCACTCCATGTAGGCATGCAAATCTGTGCTTCATTTTGCCTATTTATTTATTAATATAAACTCACTACTTACCAATGGAGATTGGGTCTAGTGGAAGGAGTTAATCTTTTATAATGTGGCGAACTAAGGTTCAAATCCTCACTAGGAGAGATGTCCACATTTAGTGCCTCGAATAAGAATGCTTCTGTCAGAGTAACGATTTAACCCACATCTTATATTAACATATCGGAGCAGAAGAGACTAATTTTACTAAAAAAAACCAACAAAGAATTGATTTTATTATTATTTTTAATAAAATAGTTACAGAAGAATATACTCACACATCACCCCTGTTTCTGGCATAAAACCCCCACCATTCCTAAGGCATGAATATAAGGACTTATCTTTTACTTTATGAGCCTATAATCTAGTTTAAGAATGAAGGCACCACATTCAATTCTTAATCTAGAAAAACCAATATTGCCTTGAAAAGAATCACACACGACATGAACTAATTACACACCTAATTAGCATATCAACACGATCAGGTCCTTAGAGTTGGTGGTCTTTCTAAACGTATATAGTCATACATAACTCCTTGAAAAGGACTTATGGCAAATGACTGTTGCAAATAGATGGTATTATTCCCTTTCATTAAAACATCGCTGGGAACATCAATGCTGAACAACCAGTACAGTCCATGGATACCGTGCCTTGCTATGGCACTGTCCCCTCCAAATTTTCCGGTTTCAAACAGTGCAGGAGCGTTACCTTGCCCGTTGATCCAAATCTGCAGAAAAAAAGACCTCCAGATTACACCGATTCATAGTGAAATAATCTATCTAAACCAGTAAGAAAACTTCAAGTAATGTGTTTCAGTATACCTTTAGGTCAGAATTAGCGGCTGCGGCTGAGGCTAGTTGGAGGGTGTAATTTCCTTTGAATGGGCCATATGGAAGATTAAACCTAATCTGCCATGTCGTTGCCTGGTAAGTCGTATTGCCAGTGCTCCTGCTCAAAATTCATCATGGAGTCAAAAATAACAATTGTACAAACCAATAGTCAAATTACATCATTATATGATTTAATTTTATTTTACTTACAGACTTGGATCCTGTCCAAGTCACTAAAGAGAACAGTGAAGGAAGAAAAAAGAATAAAGCTCATACATCAGAATGAATCCTCTATATATGTGTGTATGCATATTTAACCCCAGAGGGCATCCAACTCACCTTGTAACATGAGCATAGAACCAGTCTTGATCATATGAACTAACACCAACGGTGTAGACTAGATCATTGTTTGGATATAAATCAGCATAGTGTTCCCATAAACCATATTGTCTATACTTGTCTTTGGGTTGTTCATTGTACAATTTGTTCATGAGTGTAGGGTAAGGGTCCGGGATATAGAATTCTGCAGCTGAGCGATCTGGGATTCCAATTTCCCAAACAGTGGATCCACTTCTTGGCGGATTATATACAAGTGAGTCCAATTGGACTACACTACCTACAGGATTCAAAACAACTGAATATGAACCACCTTTCAAATATGGATATGAAGCAAAACCAGAAGGATTTTGAAGAAAATGATGTACCTGGGCTAATGGTTATTGTAGCATTGTATCTGTAATCACCAATAAAGCCAGGAACCCATGCAAACAAGTTATACTCACCGGGAACAACATTGTTTATCACAAAATAGCCCTTCTTGTTCGCTTGGGTCCAAAATTGATAACCCTGTAAGTTACCATAAGAATTGAGAATTTGAGTTTTAGACTGAATAAACTCTGTTTCAACTAACCCTCTTCATGTAGAAGAAATACCTTGCTTTCTCTTTGCCATGATCCTGCAGCACCAGGAAGAGCCAGACCAACATATGCAGAGTCAGCATATAGAAATCTGCCTCCTCTGATATACCAATCTTGAACCAGTAATCTTCCAGCCACGCTTCCACGTTGGGTAGGTGGAATGTAAGCTTGTGATCTTGGGAAATCATAAGGCCAACTTTTGACTTCCTTAGACATCTAATCCAAACAAACAATACGTCATAATATTGTTTAATTTATGAAAAAATTAAATTTGAATAGAAACCAAGAAAGAAATGTTTCATGGTTACTTGTTGTGTGGCATCTGTCCAGAGTGTTAGTGGATTCTCAGAGCTTGAAACAGAGTTCAGATACACAAAAATGGGGCCGAAAACCTTCCTGTAAGTCTCTCCTTCTTGAAATTCCATAGTTACCTCCTTCCCAGCATAGTGAGTGCTCACAAACATCTAGAGAACTCCCAAATTTAGTAAATTAACAAATAGGAAATCTTAAAGCTACTTTGTTTCTTAGTGTGTGGGGGGACCTATGACTTCTCACTTCTTCTTCGTCTTCCCTTTTTTTTTTTGGGGTAAAATGATCAAAATATGACTTCCTATCCTCATCCAGCAACATCAATTATATGACTTTTCTTTTCACCACGCATGTACTTTTTCCTTCCTTTTTTCTTTTCCTTTTCTTTTTAGGCAAAACCACATATGTACTTAAGTTCATTTTTGTTTGGACTCAAATAGCCAATGAATTAATAGACCATGATTGCATACCAATTTAATATAAGAACTTTTTTGGGCCTATACCAATTTAATATAAGAACTTTTTTTGGGCCTACAAGTGATTATGTAACATTGTAAACATAGGTGAAATGATTGTTTGCTATTAAAAACGCAACATACATAATAAATATTCTACGTTTTCATTTTTTTAGGAAAAAATTATTCATCTCAAAATTTTTGGCCAAAAAAATATGAAAATAAACAATAAAAATTCACCAAAAAAGCATCAATGATCAAGGTAGATAAGCCATGACCATCAAAGTGTAAGGAAAAAAGTCTGGTGTTGGGTGGAAGAGACAACTCACAGAGAGGGCAAATGGGCCCACGTGAGAGGTAAGGTCTTGCTTGATGGGCCCAGCATTGCGAAACTCGTTACTGGGTGTTATTACCCAAAAGCCCACGGGTGCTTCAGCATCAACGCTAATCCAACCATGCACTTTGTTGTCTTTATTCTCACAAGAGTATTGATATTTGTCGTCCACCTGAACCATTTCAACCATCAACATCAATCAACAATAATTAGACTGATTAAATATGTTTGATAAAGATAGAGAGAAGGAGGCACCTCTCCTCTAAAGTTTTCATTAGATGGATTGGTTAAGAGAACTGCTTCAGGATAAGCCAGAGGTTGTCCTGTTTCTCTGTCTTTCATGGTTGGCATGTATCTTTGCCTAGTGTCTGATATAGCCATGTAGACGAACCTGTACAGTTATGTAATCTTGCTCATTCGTTTCAGGGACTGAAAAGTTCCTTAAATTTACTTTATTCCTGGGAATTACCTTTCTTCCTGGAGCTTGAAAACATTCCTGATTTGATCAACCTCCACTGCAGGAAATCCTTCTGGGCGTTCAAATATTGTGTAAGAGTAAAACCCAGAATCGCCTCTTCGCAATACATACCTGAAAGGAATTCAATTTTAATCTCACGATTAGTCCGTTAATGTATGACTCTCTTTGGTCTTGAGTTGTGTTGAAAACAAAAAACTTGGAATCCACCTTTGGTCTATGTTTATGGGGACATTCGAGCCTTCCAGGGAGGGCGTCCATGTTCTTACAAAGGAAATCTCCACTTGGTTTTCGTCCAATGATACAACTGAAAATTCGGTCCCATGGATTCTGCAGTGTGTGTAATAATCTGTCAGATCATAATTTGGGGCAACCAACACGCTTGCATGACTTTATTTGTAATGAAATAACGTGTCGAACATCATTATATCATACCTCTGAAAAGTGCTGCTGTTCCCAGGCTTATTCCAGACCACATCAAAATACCTGGGAAACATGAACATGGGAATTTGTTTCAAATTTTATAATAAACTTTTGCAGGGATTAAGTCGTTTAAATTAATGAGAAAGTCTGAAGCCGATACCCTCTGTCTTGTTCTTCGTTTCGAGATTCTAGTACATTGTCGATTCCATCATATGATATGCCAAGAATATACCCCTCGGGGCTGGACAGAGTGATTTGAACAATGCCATTCTCAATCACCACGTGGCCATGATCTTCTGTATTAAGCTTAACTGCAGAAATTGAAGGTCTGGGTTTTGAAGTGTTTATCCCCTTCAACTCTCTTCTGCTATTATTAGAAACATGGAAAATAAGGAAATTAAAACGTCATAATTAAATCAAGAATAAAATTATGGAAGTAGCATTACGTCATCAGGTCCATTATTTCAAAGCAATGAAAGCAGACGCGTGACATCAGATTGAATGCATATAAATGTGCACGGTTACATTGGCCCAAAGTGGTTGTTAAATCTGGGTTTCTTCTCCTGTTTGTTGAGGGAAGTCCTTATTCGAAGTAAAGTAAGAGATGTAAATCCCCAATCAGAGAGAGAGAGAGAGAGAGAGAGAGGTGAAATGTGATGTCAAGGCAAAGACCTTTGTTGGTATTGTGAAGCAGAAAGTGGGACACAGAATGTGATTAGTTTGCCGGGACTAAGTTCACGGAGTTTGGTTATTTTGGCAAAAGCATACAAAAAATGGGACCATATACCCTACAGGTTAAGACTATGCAACAATAAGACAGAAGACATGTGAAGGGTAAAGAGTCAGATGTTACAGGGAAAGACGTAAATATATGCACAGAAAGGCTAACTTGCCATGTCTTTTCTTTACCATAAAGGTAGACAAGTGAAAAGTAAGTAGCTTCCCAATTTCCTCTTGCCTAATCCAACCATCCCATAAAAACATTATTATAAAGCACTTCGATTTTTAAAAAGTTCGTGAAGAAACAGGAATGCATAGGACAAGTTATAAAGTAACCGTGAGCGTGACCAGCCCCCTCTTTCCTCTTCCTTTTCTTTTCTCTTTTTTATTATGAGTAACTTGTGGTGGAATGGAAAGAATAAAACCAGTAACATCTAAGTAGAATGTCCTGGTTTTTACTTGTTAATCCTTACTCTCTCTCTCTCTCTCTTCCCTTTCTTTCTAACCTTTTTGTTATTTCTCTGTGTCACGTAAAGATAACCAAAAAGCAAAAGCATGGAGGAGAAGATATAATTAAAAAAGAAGAAACAGAAGGCGAGAGGGAGGACCTGAATGAGGTGGTGTCATAAGAGAGAGAAGCACCCAACAAGAAGCAGAACTGCACAGTCATTCCAAACCACCACAGCAAGAAAACTTGTTTCCTTACGATCTCACCTACCCTCCTCTTCATCTTCTTCTTCCAAAACCAAACCTGCAAAACAAAAGCTGCCAGAGGAAGAAGAGAAGAAGAAAAGCATGGCATTATGATTATGGGCACTGATATTAATTAATACTGTCAAATAACCAAAAGAAAGGGACTAAACAAACAAGACCCGGCAGGAGAATCCCAGTTATTTTCTGACGAGCATCCACTAACCTTGATAATTATCAATGCAGACAAGGTTTCTGCTGGGAGATACAGCTAAACATAGAAGACGAAAGACCAATAGTGTCCTTTTACGATCTCTCCCTCTCTCCCTCTCTCTCTCTCTCTCTCTCTCGGTTTCTCTTCGTTACTACTAAATTCTCTTGGAAATCTTAATGGGTAGGTACCTTCAGAAAACGTGCACGCATTTGCATAATGCTAAGCGAATGGGCTTTATATATAACAGCAATAACCACCCCAG